TCAAAATGTGTTCGTAAAATGTTTACGCAACCGAGGAGAATTGTCTTAGTTACCTTTTTACATATTTAAATTAATTAATATATTCTAGCTTTGACTTCCCCTTCTTTGAACTCCAATTAGGGTTTTTTTTCCTCTCCTGTTGAGTAGTATCTCTGTAGCACGGATACTTCAATTAGGGTAGCAAATAGGTACTCTGCCGTAATCATTTTTCTTTTTATATTAGAAATATTATATATTGTTAATTTAGAGTTATTAGAAAGTAACAAATAAATACTCATGTTTAAAAGATTTNAGTCGATGTCAACTCTTCTCGAACACTCTACCGTAATCATTTTTCTTTTTGTATTAGAAATATTATATAGTGTTAATTCAAAATTATTAGCAAGTAACAAATAGATACACATGTTTAAAAGATTTCAACAAGAAAAATTAATAACAAGTATAAAACTAAATTTATACTATAATAATGAAGAATTTTTAAGAATTTAATCAACGTGTCAATAACGTGTCGCGTCTTTACTTTTTTTAAAAAATTGCATGTCAGCGTATCCGACACGTATCGTGTCGAACACACGTGTCCGTGTCGGTGCATCATAGAGTAGTATAAACAACTAAAATTTTATGTGGCTCATCAAAAAAATTCGACATCTTGCATTAAATTCGTGTCCTGCAATTGTTTATGAGTGACTTTTTCTTTGCCTTGTCAATGGTGCAACTTTTCCATAGTATTTTTGTGGCGAACTTGAGAATTTAACTAGCATTACAACCAAATTCCATCCGGTGAATCATGTTCATAATGCTTGCAGGATGGAAAAAGCTTACCAAATGGACCTGTTGTGATTTCACCCGATGGCCTATTTCCCTCATTGTACCGGGAAGGTGAGGTGCTTTCCCCGAATTATTAGTGGACTTCTATTAACATCTAAATGTTTCCAACAGCATGAGAAACAAAAGTGAAATTCTTTTCTAGTCAGGAACTTTTTAATTCTGCTACTAATAAGAAGAATATACTGGTGTTTTGTTGATGGCAGTTATAAGAAGAGCTCCTCATGAGTTCAAGATTGCTTGTTTAGAGGTAAGTTTTACTGTCGCGTGCATGGTTTATTGGTGAAGCATTTAATTGATCTTCAAAACATCTTGATTCTTTAAGCTTCCTCTGAAAGTGTAAACCCCCTTTTGCAGGATATCAAAGCACTTTTTCCTGCCGACTATAACCCGTTTTATGCGGGTTTTGGAAACAGAGACACTGATGAACTCAGTTATCGGAGAATAGGGATCCCAAAAGGCAAAATCTTTATCATTAATCCCAAGGTAATTATCATTTTTATTCTTTCATCTTGTAAGCTGGATTGTAGAATACCCAACAGTTTCAATAAAGAAAAAAAGGTTTAATTCTTGTTCGTTGTGCCATCCAGCACCACATATCAAACATGCATATGGCCACGAAACTGCAAGTTTATTTTTTCATATTGTTCCC